ATTCTGATATTTTCATGATGTTTATCATGATGTTGCTTATTTGTCCAATTGTGAGGATTTTTGGCTTCTTTATGTTGAGGTGAATCCATACTGCAAACTGTAGTCTTTGATCTTCATCAGTAAATGCGTCAAGTATTCTTCACTTTCCTCAAGCAAGGTTGTGTCGTTTGCGTATTGCAGGTTGTTAATGAATCTTCTTCCAATCCTGATGTCATGTTCTTGTTCATATAGTCCAGCTTCTCAGATTATTTGCTCATCATACAGATTGAATAAATATGGTGAAAGGACACAACCCTGATGTATACCTTTCCTGAGTTTTAACCACACAGTATCCCCTTGTGCTTTATGAATGACTACCTGTTAGTCTACGTACAGGTTCCTCATGAGCACAATTAAGTGTTCTGGAATTTCTATTCTTTGCAATGTTATCCATTGTTATTGATATAGTCAAGTGCCTTTGGCTAGTCAATAAAATACAGGTAAACATCTTTCTGATATTCTATGCTTTCAACCAAGATCCATCTGACATCAGCAATGATAAACACCATTCTAACTCCTCTTCTGAATCTGGCTTGAATTTCTGGCAATTTCTTGTCAATGTACTGCTGCAACTGTTATTGAATTATCTTCAGCAATATTTGATTTGCATATAATATTAATGATATTGTTTTATAATTTCTGCATTCTGTTAGAAAACCTTTCTTTGGAATAGGAACAAATATGGATCTCTTCCAGATGGTTGGCCAGGTGGCTGTCTTCCAAATTTCTTGGTATAAACACGCGAGTACTTCCAGCCTTGCATCTATTTTTTTAAACATCTCAGTGATGTTCCATTAATTCCTGGAGCTTTGCTTTTCTCCAGTGCCTTCAGTGAGGCTTTATTGCTCCCTCCAGCACCAATGGTTCTTGATCACATGGTACTTCCTGAAATGGTTGACCATTGACCAATTTTTTTTCGTACAGTGACTCTCTGTATTCCTTCCATTTTCTTTTGATTCTTCCTGCATCATTCAACATTTTGCGTATAGAATCCTCCAATATTACAACTTGAGGCTTGAATTTTTCCTTCTATTTTGGTTTTCCAACTCCAGGTCTTTGCACATTTCATTACCTACTTGAGCCACCCTTTTAAAATATTCTGCTCAGCAATTTCTCTTCACCATTTATTCCTTTCACTTTATTTAGCTGCTCTATATACACTCAACAGCAAGTTTTAGAGTCTCTTCTGATATCCCTTTGGTCCTTTATTTCTTTTGTCTTTTTAATGACCTTTTGCTTTTTTCATGTATGATGTCCTTGATGTCACCCCACAACATGTCTAGTCTTTGGTTCAATGCATTAATTCTATTCCTGAGATGGTTTCTAAATTCTCAAGGTCATAACTTAGCTCTTGTGGACTTGCTTTAATTTTCTTCAGTGTCAGCTTGAACTTGCACAGATGCAATCGATGGCCTATTCTGCAATCAGCCCCTGGCCTTGTTCTGTCTGATGATATTGAGCTTCTCCAACGTCTCTTTCCACAGATATGTTGTTGTTGTTGTTGTTGTTGTTATGTGCCGTCGAGTCAAACCTGACTCATAGCGACCCCTCCTTGGGTTTCCGAGGCAGTATCACTACGGAAGTAGGATTGCCCAACCTTCCTTCCGAGGAGTGGCTGGTGGGTTTGAACCGCCAGCCGTCTGGTTAGCAGGCAAGTGTCTTAGCCACTATGCTACCAGAGCTCCCTTTCCACAGATATAGTCGACTTGATTCCTGTGTATTCCATCTGGTGAGGTCCACATGTATAATTGCTGTTTACGTTGTTGAAAAAGATATTTGCAATGAAGAAGTCATTGGTCTTGGCAAAAATCTATCATGTGATCTCTGGCGGTTCTATCACCAATGTCATGTTTTCCAAGAACTGATCTTTCTTTGTTTCTCATTCCAATGACCAATTGGAATCAAGCCATCTTGATTCCACATTTAATCAATGTCAGACTTCAGAAGTTGGTAAAAATCTTTAGTGTTTTCATATTTGGCATTAGTGGTTGGTGTGTAAATTTAAATTGTAGTCATATTAACTGATCTTCCTTGTAGGCTAACAGATATTATCCTATCACTGACAGCCTTGCATTTCAGTATAGATCTGAGATGTTCTTTTTGATGATGAATGCCATGATTCCTCTTCAACTATATGATTAGTTGCAATTTATTAGGCAATTAGAAGTTGGTTAGTAATTTTACTATACCTGTACTACATTGCTAACTTTGCTTAAGATTTTTCACTGTATATTTCCCAGTTAAGTTACATTGGCATGTCCTCAGGCAGAAAAACAGGTTCTTACAACATCCTCCTCAGGGCATACTATATTCTACTTCTCTTAGATGTGCAATCTTTTGTTGTCTTGAGGTCCGCTTTGGGACAGAGAGAAAATTCTGAGGCTAAAGTTAACAAGGGAGCTCTGGTAGCATAATGCCTGTGGTGGTTATGTTTGTGTGTCAGTTTGGCTAGACCTGGTTGAGTGGCAGCTGGATGTAGTAGTCCCCATGATGAGACTGGTGATCAACTCCATGGTGGAATCTACTGTGAGCAGCTGAGTAGCTGCCTTTGGGTATGTGGTCTGTTTCCTGCATATAATAGCAGAAGCTTTGAGAATGGTCTCTAGCCTATGGCATGCTTGGATCCTGCATGTAGCCGTGTCGTTGTTCAGCAGCCTGCCATGCTCTGCCGACCTTGGGGCTTGCAATGGACTTAAGTTAATGGCCTGCCATGTGGTTTGGTAACATTGGGACTGTGCCCTTTTACTTGTCAACCTTGGGGGGTTCTCAGCCTCAGCAGCTAGCAGCTGTCTGAGTGAAGAAATGCCTCCAGCTCCAGTGGGCCAGGAGCAGGAGGCAGAGCTGGACCCCAAGGTTGAGGGGCTTTCACCCAGCCCCTAGAGCCTGGCACTTTGAACTTGGACCTAAAGTCTCCAAATTGTAA